AGTGCCAGGATAAAAACTTTAGAAAAACCTGCTAAACCTGTTAAAATGAATTATAGAGAAATTCAGATTCAGACAGAAGAAATTAACAGTGAAATTGTTTCAGGATTGGATTATAAGGTTACAGAAAGAAACCCTGTTTTCACACAATCACCCTTAATCTATCCAGTAACCATACAGCAGCTACCTGGTCAAGTGAATGCACAAAATATTTGGACTCCAATTGAAATGCTAGATTTATGAAGGTTTAAGGAGGCAATAGTATCTTATGGCATGCATTCCCCATTTGTAAAGCAAATGTTAAACTCCTGGTCAACTTATAATAAGATTATACCACAGGACTGGTGAGAGCTGGTAAATGCTGTTCTGGAACCCGGGGCACAACTGCAGTGGCAAATGTGGTTCAAAGAGGGAGCTAAAAACATAGAAAACCAATGGAGGGCTAAAGGTATACAAATCTTCCAGGATCAGCTTGTTGGAGAAGGCCAATATGCTGTAATACAAACACAATGTTTATATGATACCCAAACCCTAATTCTATGTCAAACGGCAGCCTTGAATGCATGGGACAGAGTTGAGGAACCAGGAAAGAAAATGAGTCATTTACAAAGGTTATACAGGGCCCAAAAGAATCCTTCACAGATTTCTTACAAAGATTGACTTCAGCAGTAAAGATAATGGTCCCAAATTCAGAAGCTAGCAAGATAATAATCGAATCTTTGGCTTTTGAGAATGCAAATGCAGCATGCAAAAGAATAATCAGGCTGTTAAAGGCAAGATCTGCACCCTTAGAAGATTGGATTAGAGACACGTTTAATGTTGAGGCTCATGACCATGATGATATGTGGATAGGAGAATCAATTTTAAGAGGTGTGAAGAATGTCAAATGGAAAGCAAGGACATTTGAAAAGGGACTGTAAACAGGGCATTCCTAGAAACACTGTTTCTCCAAGGAACAATGACAACAGAATGTCCCTTCCTTCTGGAGTATGCAGAAGGTGTGGTAAGGGAAAACACTGGACCAACGAATGTAGATCAACAAGGGACAGGCAAGGTAATCCTTTGCCTCAGTCTTCAGGAAACTCCCACAGGGGCCTCAGGCAGGCTCCCACAGCAAATCCAGTTCAGACCTTTCCTGGAGTCATAGAGGAAACCCCTACTCAGAGCAAATAAATAACCAAATGCCTATTGGAATAAGCCAGGCTGCTCAGGGTAATGAAACAGCTGAGACAGAGAGAACAGAAAATTCAGGAGAAAACATAAAGAAAATTTTTTGGCAAACTTCTATAAATGAACAAAGACCAAAATTAACAATAAGAATAAATGGTGTTTTGTTGTCTGGGCTGGTAGACACAGGTGCTGACATGACCATAATTGCACCAGAATTTTGGCATCCAACTTGGCCTCTTCAAGAGGTAAATGTTCAGCTGTTAGGAATTGGAGCATTATCTCAAGTGAAACAGAGTGCAAGATGGCTCGATTGTATAGGTCCAGAAGGACAGAGAGGAAAATTAAAACCATATGTGGCTAACATAGCTATGAACCTGTGGGGTTGAGACCTGTTGCAACAATGGAATACTGATTAACATCCCTCCAACCTCAGAAACAAATCATAAACTAGCATATGTTTCTGATAGAAATATTAGAAGGTATTATTCTAATGAGTGGTCACCAGCCATCCATATTATACAAGAACAGGGCACAACAACTGATGATCTTCCAAAGACCCCAATAGCTCTACCTTTAAAATGGTTAACAGACAAGCATGTATGGGTTCACCAATGGCCTTTAACAACAGAGAAACTCCAGGTTTTAGAAGAGCTGGTAGAAGAACAGTTAAATGCTCAGCATATTGAGGAATCAACCAGTCCTTGGAATTCTCCTATATTTGTTATTAAAAAGAAATCTGGTAAATGGAGAATGGTAACAGACCTTAGAGCAATAAACAAAGTAATTCAGTCAATGGGCTCTCTACAATCTGGAATTCCTTTGCCTACTCTGTTACCTAAACGATGGCCTCTCATAGTTATTGATTTAAAAGACTTCTTCTTTTCAATACCCTTACAAGAAAAAGACAGAGAAAGATTTGCTTTCACAGTGCCTACTTATAATAATCCTCAACCGGTTAAGAGATATCAATGGAGGGTCCTCCCACAGGGAATGTTGAATAGCCCAACCCTGTGCCAATATTTTGTACAACAGCCATTGGAAGTGATATGTAAAAAATTTCCTAAATCTATAATTTATCATTATATGGATGATATTTTACTAGCCAACTCAAATGTAGATACTTTAGAAAGAATGTTTGAAGAAGTAAAGAAAATTTTGCCTTGCTGGGGATTACAAATTGCTCCTGAAAAGATACAAAGAGGAGATTCTATTAATTATTTAGGATATAAAATAGGGCTACAAAAAATTAGACTCCAAAATGTGCAAATTAGGAGAGATCGATTACAGACTCTTAATGACTTTCAAAGATTATTTGGAGACATTTCTCATCTACGAACTATTGTTGGGGTAAAAAATGATGAACTGCATAATTTGTTCAAAACCTTAGAAAGTGACAAGGACTTAAATAGTCCAAGAGAATTATCACCTGAAGCTGAGAAAGAATTGGCCTTGGTAGAAAAGAAAGTACATGAAGGGCATGTGGATTGTATTGATCCAAAGCTGGATTGCATTTTGGTTATTTTACCCTCTAGGCATTCTCCTACAGGAATATTAATGCAGAGGGAAGATATTATATTGAAATGGATATTTTTTACCAAATAAACCCAATAAAAAATTAAAAATTTATGTGGAAAAAATCTCTGACTTGATTTTGAAAGGAAAATTGAGACTTTGTCAATTAGCAGGAATAGACCCAGCAGAAATTGTCCTACCTTTAACTAAGGAGGATATTGAAAAATTATGGACAGAAAGTGAACCTTGGCAAAGAGCTTGCAGTAATTTTTTTTGGGAGAAATTAACAGCAAATATTCCAAAAGCCATAGAATTGATCTTATAAAGAGAGCTGATTGGATTTTTCCTTGAATTGTATGGGAAAAACCCATATCTGGAGTTTGGACATTTTATATAGATGCAAACAGACAAGGAAAGGCAGGTTACAAATCAGAAAATTTAAGTAAAGTGGTTCAAAGTCCTTATAATTCCGTTCAAAAATCGGAAATGTATGCTATTCTGTTGGTATTAATGGATTTTTCAGAACCTCTCAACATAGTTACTGACTCTCAGTATACTGAAAGAGTGGTATTACATATTGAGACTGCAGAATTTATCCCTGATGCTTCAGAATTAACTTCACTATTTATTCAGTTACAAGATACAATCAGGAAAAGGGGTCATCCTTTATATATAACTCACATCTGATCCCATATGGGTCTGCCAGGCCCTCTAGCACAAGGTAATGATGAGATTGATAAATTATTGATAGGAAATGTGCTGGAGGCCTCAGAATTTCATAAAAAACATCATGTCAATAGTAAAGGTTTACAAAAGGATTTTCCATAACCTAGCAACAAGCCAAGGAAATTGTAAGGAAATGTCCTACTTGTTCCTATTACAATCAGACGCCATTACCAGCAGGTTGTAACCCAAAGGATACTCAGAGGAATGAAATCTGTCAGATGGATGTGTTTCACTTTGCAGAATTTGGAAAATTGAAATATGTACACCATGCCATTGATACTCATTCAGGATTTCAATGGGCAAATGCTTTGAAATGCTTTGAAAAAGCTGATTCTGTAATCACTCATTTGCCAGAAGTTATGGCCATCATGGGTATACCTGTACAAATTAAAACTGACAATGCTCCAGCATATGTCTCTGTTAAAATGAAACAGTTTTTTGCTTATTACCGTATAAAGCACATTACAGGTATACCTCATAATCCTATAGGCCAAGCAGTTACAGAAAGATCAAACAGAACTCTAAAGGATATGCTAAATAAACAAAAAGGAGTAATAAAACCCCCCAGAAATAGACTGCATAATGTTCTATTAACTTTGAATTTTCTCAATGCTAACAAGAAAGGAACAACAGCTGCAGAGAGACATTGGATAATAGAAAGAACTACAGAATTAAATCAGCCTATATACTTTAAGGATGTGCTGACCTCAGAATGGAAACCAGGATATGTGTTATGTTGCAGACGAGGTTTTGCTTTTGTTTCTACAGGAGAAGATAAGCTGTGGATACCATCAAAACTGATAAAGGTTTGATTTGAACAGGAGAGACCTCTTAATTAGAGGAGGTGATAGTTCATCAACCAACATGACCATCCAATTTAAACTAACTTATACCATTAACACATGCCTTTTCATTTTAATCAGATAAAACTTGCTGAAAGAGAACCTCCCCAAAATTAGTCTTGGGGAAAGGTTTTTGTTTTTGTCTTTTAGGAGAGTGAAGGCTAAGGAATCTGAAGAACACTGGACAAATGAGACAACTGAAGAAAAAGGACAAATCATCTGTCCCAAGAAAAAGAGTAAAATGGCCTATTGGTATATCATCTACAAAATTTCATAAGTCTTCCTAAATGTTTGTTTTTGCTCTTCTCTAAAGACATTTAACACTATTGGTCTTCTGTAGTCCCAGTTCAATTAGAATTTAAAGCTGGCTTTGGAGTTGGAGAATGGCTCTCTCCTTCTTTAAACTCAAGCATATTGTTAAAAGGAAAATGCAAACACCCTGTATCATGCCAGAAGAAAGAGCCATCTTCTGATATGGGACAGGAGAAAAACCATATTAATTAAGGGACTATTCTATTACTACTAATCTCAATTCTTTGATTCTATTCTGATTCTTTAAACTTTTCTTAAAGTATGAATTTTATATCAAAATTTACAAGGTTAATATATATATATATATATATATGTATATATACACTTTAAACTTTGTTAAGATAGTAATGGTCATATAGAATACTAATTCTAGAAAAGAAAGGCTTCAATTAGCTGCCTATACATGTCTTTGTATTTGAGCATCTTATCAATTTTCTGCAGGAAATCACAGCCAGGCCTAACATCAACTGAAGTCTCCAGAAAGAAGATGGGGCCCCACAACAACAACAATTCCATGTGTACAATAACAATACCACTAAGCTGACAAACATCATCTACAGATCAGCTTTGGACAACAAACTGCTCAGAGCAATTTTGAGATGGCTAGCTGAGATGATCCAGTTTCAAAGACTACTTGAATAAGGACTTGAGATAAGCCCTGAACTTTGACATTATGCTCAAACTGGACAACAAAGGATACAACTACCTTTTCTAGAATTTGACAATTAACCCAAAGTTTTTCTTTTCAGAATAAAGAACCCTCGCCCATATCCAGCAAGAAGCAATTTTAAGAATATGACGCCCACATTCCCAAAGAGGTGGTATGGGGCGGGTGGTTTTTTGGTCTTTTAATGGGTTTTGGGTCTGGGATAATTTTCATTGTTTAGGAGGGTTGGTTACAAGTTGTTGTTAAGGGTTAGGAAAAGGGCTAAGCAAAGGAGATTAGATTTAAGGTTCTTGTAAAAAAAAAAAGAAAAAAAAGAGACAATTACTAGTTTTAAATACTTTACATTGGATTGGATTTTTTTATATTGTATACAAATTATATATATTGAGATTGATATTATTAGAAAATGCCATACATATATTTCTAATCTTGTTCAAGATATTGTACTTATACCGTTCATTTAACAATGTAATGCAATTTGCTGATCCTTGAATGTTGTTATTGCCAACTATTAGGATATAAAGAAATGAAAATTAATAGTTAGACATTAAAATCCTGAATCATGACATGACTAGTGGAATTCAGGTGTTTCTGGTACATGGACTGCTCTCACCAAATGTGAGGTCGAACTGTTGACCTTGTATACATCCTACTTCACAAATGAGTCTGTCAGATACGCTAAGCCTATAGGCTGAAGATGATGCCCCAACACTGTGGAGAAACCTCAGGTGACTGTCCAGGCAGCTGGCTGTTTCTGTCAACTCACATTTTTTTTTTTGGAAGCTGCTTGCATATAGTTCCTGTTTTTAGTTTTTATTAGGTAATATTATTTCCTTCTTGGGTCTCTGAGGGAGTCTTCAACTATAACTAACTAATATAGTTGAAGATTAGATAGTTATAGTTATAGTTTTCCTTGTTAAAGAATTTTAGAAAAGAAACTCACTAAAGAGGTGTAAATGCATAAATTTGAAAGATGTTATAAGATAGTTGTTAGTAATATAAGTTAGGATAGAAAGTGAATCAGGTACATTTTGGACTTACCAAAATGGGATAGATAATGGAATTATTTTCTCTGAATTTGTCAAATGAAAATGGGCTAGACATTGTTTGGGTATTTATTGCTTGTATATATAATATATAGTTATTGTACTTTTGTATATAGTTTTTCTTATATTAGTTATAACTTTTTTCCTTTTTTCTTTTTATTAAAATAGAAAAGGAGAAATATGGTGATATTTCATTTGTACTGAAATGTTATTTGTATGTTAATAAATAAAGTTGCCTGGGGTCAGAGATAATAGCAAGCCATAGCAGAAGCCAGGCGGTGGTGGTGCACACCTTTAATCCCAATCACATGACAGACAGATCTCTGTGTGTTCAAGGATACAGCCAGCATGGAGACACATGCCTTTAATCTCAAAACCAACCATAGAAGACCTGGAGGTCTGTATAGACAGGCAGTGATGAGGAGGTCATGTGGTTGGGTTTACAACCAATGAGAAAGCAGAACAGAAAGTCAATAAAAAGACAGATACACAGGAAGTAGGTCTCTTTCTGAGGGGAAGGGCGACAGCGGCAGCGAAGGGTAAGAAAGGTTTTTTAGTATCAGCTCTTAGCTACTGCTCTGACCTCTTGGGCTTTTAACTCTGCATTTGGCTCTGTGTTTCTTATTTAATAAGACTGTTACATCTACAGAGTGTCCTAAGACAGTTCCTGCTTCTGAAGACATGGTCATGGGGTGATGTTTTTGCCATTTCAATCAGATTCTGACTTAGATAGTGATGACTCTCAGAATGGGGTCCAAGCACCTTGGTTGGGGATAGGAAGTAAGTAGGGGATCCTGCATCTCATCATGTGTATCCTTTTTGATGGCACTAAGGTGCCATTAACTCACATAACAAATGTGGGTGAAAACTCCACAGAAGTAGGGTGCTCTAAGTCTCATTGTCAGACAGATCCATGTTCTGTTATTCCAGAAGACTAAGATCCTCAAGGGGAACACTGATGAACAAAATGCAGGGTGCAGGGGACATGCTCTTTTCCTGGTGGGGTGATTCTATGTTCCTCATGGAACTCATAGGCAGAAGCTAGTGACAAAATGATTGGCACAGTGGACCTATCCTCCCCACCCCCATACTGGAATGGGGCGGGGACAGGTGTCAGAGACATTTCGTGGCAAGGCCATATATAAATGCTTGAAAATCTCCTGAAACTTGATCTTGATTTGTGGAAAAGATCTAAGAATAGAGCCATTGTCTGGTGTATACAGAGGAAAGCAGACTGGACGTCAGGCTCTGGAGAATGTGAAGGAAAGTTCTGTGGGCAAGATAGAGTGGTTTGAGCTTGAGATTTGCTGTTAGGAGACAGCAGGCTTCTCTGCAGTCATCCATAGGTATTCCAAGAGCTCCCAGGGACCTGTGTTAGTGGAAGAAAACTAAACACAAACACCAAGTGGTACTCTTTTGAGGGTGTTGTATACTATGGAAAGAGGGCTGGGTCTGATGGCGCAGGGACAAATGGAACTTGAAACAGGTCAGTGAGAGCCCATCTTGTGTATGGGAGTGTCAAGTGTCTGGTAAGATGTGGCTAATAGCAGCTGGCCTGGCAGAGAGTGTGGTGGGTTGTAAGGTCCTTAAAGTCACAGATGACTGAGGAGGCCATGAGCTCTAGCCAGAAATGCAGAGGTCTTTTTCCCCTCCCTGAATGAAGTGTGGGGGTTGGGGGTGAGGAAAAAGAGTCCTGTCCCGCTTTTCTTCCCAGCTCCAGTCTGAGGCGTGAAGTTTGTAAACTATTTCCTTAATTTGGAGCCTAATGTAAATTCTGGTATGGCTTGTGATTTAGCTTCTTTCTAGTCTCAGAGAGGCCCTGTATGGGGGGTGGGGGTGGGGGAGTAGACATTTGTCTTAGTTAGGGTTTTATTGTTGTGAAGAGACACCATGACCACAGCAAATTCTTACAAAGGAAAACATTTAATTGGGGCTGGCTTACAATTCAGAGATTTAGTCGGTTGTCACCATGGCAGGAAGCATGGTGGCACGTAGGCAGACATAGTGCTAGAAAAGGAGCTGAGAGTTCTACATCTGGATCGGCAGGCAGCAGGAAGTGAATGCCACACTGGGTGTGCCTTGAGCATCTGATAACTCAAAGCCCATCTCCAGTGACCACTTCCTTCAAAAAGGCCTACTCCAGCAAAGCCTCACCTTCTAATAGTGCCACTCCTTATGAGCCTATGGGGCCATTTTCATTTAAACTACCACAATATCATTCAGGGCTCTTGGTGTATGTGTGGTGGGGTCAGATAGTGAGGGTCGTGCAAGATTCTTGGCTTGAGGCTCTTAATGAACCACATTCTAACATGGCTCCTTCAGTTAGTTTCCAGCATATGAAATGCACTATTCTATTACTGTATACACTCACCAGGCTCAGCCTCCTGCAGCAAGCTCAGGACTCTGGTGTGTGTGTTGTATGGAATCCTTTCTTTGGTCTGTTAGTGACCTCTTTATGGGGTTAATAAATGTCTTTGTTTCTCTAGGGAAACTCTAATGCTGTGTATATATGTATGTATGTGTGTTGCAGAATATTATTTTAACTATGTAAATGTGTGTTACATTTGTTTATGCTGCAGAATATTACTTTAACTGTGTAAAGATATATATAAAAGATATATATATATATACTTTTTATAAAGATATGTTACAAATATGATGCATTTGTTTAACTATGTAAAGATGTATTGACACTGTTTCACCTTGCCTGCCTAAGGTACCTGATTGGCCTAATAAAAAGCTGAATGGCCAATAGCTAGGTAGAGGAGGGATAGGTGAGGCTGACAGGGAGAAAGAATAAATAGGAGGAGAAATCTAGGCTTGAGAGAAGAACAGAATGAGGGACACGCCTAGGGCAAGATGCCAGGTAGCCACCAGCCAGTCAGGCACAATAAGTAGTGAAAGTAAGTTATACAAAAAGAAAAGGTAAAAAGCCCTGAGGCAAAAGGTAGATAAAGAGAAACAGGTTAATTGAAGTTAAAAGAACTAGCCAGAAACAAGTCTAAGCTAGGCAGAGCATTCAGAACTAATAATGAGTCTCTGTGTCATGATTTGGGAGTTGGTTGGTGGCCCAAAAGAAAATATGTGTGATAAGTATATATGTTTACCACATGTATATGTATGTATGTATGTATGTATGTATATATGTATATATATGCATATACTTATTTGGGTAGATATATGTATGTAAGTGTATATATGATATGTATCTATGTATGAGTATGTAGTATGCATGTGTGATAGTTTGAATAAGAATGGCCCCCATAGGCTTATATATTTGAATGCTTAGTTACCAGGGAGCGGCACTATTTGAAAGAATTAGAAATATTAGGAAGTGTGGCCTTGTTGGAGTAGATGTGGCCTTGTTAGAGGTAGTGTGTCAGTGGGGTGTGCTTTGAGGTTTCAAAAGCTCAAGCCAGGACCAGTATCACACTCTCTCTCTGCCTGCAGATCAGGATGTAGCTCTCAACTACTTCCCAGCACCATGCCTGCCATGATGATAATGGACTAAACCTATGAAACTGTAAACAAGCCTCCAGTTAAATACTTTCTTGTATAAGAGATGCCTTGTTCATGGAGTCTCTTCAGAGCAATAGAACAGTGATTTAAGACAGCATGTATATGTATTGATCTCTACATGGTATGTATACATGTCTTTCTTTGCATAGTGTGTATCATGTATATATGTGTGTATACATGTATGTACATATGTATTTGAGTCTGTGTACATATATAGTTGTGAATGGATGGAAATACATGTATACATAGGCGTGTGTGTGTGTGTGTGTGTGTGTGTGTGTGTGTGTGTGTGTGTGTGTGTTTGGTGGGGGTAGGAGGCTCTATGGGGATCCCTGATCTTGAGTTCCAAGTTCTTCTAACTAGGACTTACTTATAAGTGCTGTAACCACTGGAATGTCCCATCTGGCTACCTTGATAGGATATGACTTTGCAGGTCTCAGGGAGCTGACACCAGCTCCCCACCCTTTCAGGGCTTTAGCTACAACTTCCCTCTTATGGGCTCGATCCCTAGATGCTATCAGAGGGCTTCTCTCTACTCCTTCACGCACATCCAGAGTTCCTGGAATTTAGAGTATACCATGGCCTCACGCCGACTTTGGGTCTCCAATGCCAGGTGTGGCTAGAGTTACTCCAGGATCAGCTCCTGGCACCTTAGTACAGAGACGTGGAAGGAGTATCTTTCTTTTTGTTTTGTTTTTGTTTTTGTTTTCAGGACAGATATCATGTAACCTAGGCTAGCCTCAAATGCACTCTGTAGTTGAGGGTGAACTTGAACTTCTGATCCTTTGGCTTCTGTCTTCCTAGTTCTTGGATTACAAGTGTGCACCTCCATACCCAGTTTTATGAGATGTTGGGAATCAAATCCAAGAGTTTGTGCTTGGTAGGCCAGCACTTTACCAACTACACTACATCCCAGCTTGTCTCCTGACATGACCAGGTTGATTGCTGTTGTCCTGGCACCTTAACCTGCAATTGCCAAGATCTCAGGCTTTAAGGTTTATTCAGGGTCCCCCTGCTCCATGCATCCATTTGTCTTGACTTCTATGGGACTCACTCTTTGCTAACAAGCAGACTTAGCCAGCCCAGCTTGCCATGGCAACCGCCCACAGCTTGCTCTCTGTCCGGCTGCCTGGCTGCTTTATCTCTGAGGCCATCTGTTCTGGCAACACAATTCCAAAGCCACTTAAACAGAGCCTGGAGCAGGGCAGTCCTAAGCTCATATGAGTGTGCATGCACAAGCACATGCACATAGAAGCAGTATGACCCCTGCAGGGTGGAAAGTAATGTCAGTGGAGATCCCAGCAGCTGCTCACTTTTCCTGCTGTTCTTGAGTAGGTTTCTGAGAAGTCCTTATGAATGTGTGTGAGTCTACATATCTGTCTGATTCAAAATTTTGTCCCCCTTTTCTCTGTCCTCATACTTTTCCCCGTCCATGAGTCCATCTAGTTTTGACCTTTGTCCCAGGCCTTTTGCTTCCTTTCCTTCCTTGGTCCATGTCATCTGTTTGTCCATCTCCCTTGCAGTTGTGGATATGAGTCTTGTCCTTGTCTTTCTTCACCTCTCATCTTTTCCCAGCAGTGTCAGTTGCTCTTCACTTTCTTTTCTTTTTATGTTCTAGTAAGGTATATCTTAAGGGGCTGCTTCTAGGACAAGGAGTCAGGCCTGTCCCTTATGTTCTATAGTCTGATCTTAAGCATATCTGTCTCTTTCTTTCCTCCCCAGCCTCAGTGTGGCTGGTCATGGGGATTTAAGGACACTGAGTTTGGCTTCCTAGGGTCTGCTCATACCCAGGGTGGAGTCTTCTCAGCTCATACCTGGGCTCCTTGCTCTGAGCCCAAATAAACTGTCCACTGAATGTGCTTTCCCTTCCAGTCACATAGCCTTCTCTATCTCTGTGTTTTTAGTTAATACCTCTCTTTTCCCCTAGGAGACTTTGGATAGGTACAATATCCTAGACCAGCAGGCTCCTTCTCATCCACTTGGGTGCCTGAATGCAGCTGAACTGGAAGCCTTGCTAAGCTGCTTCTCCCTGTAGGTCTCTGAGTCCCATAATACCCTATTCTAACGTGACCTAAGAGATGGAC